TCGCAGAGGAGGTGTCTGCAAAAACACAGGAAACCCTTGGCTGAAGAGTGAGAGTCATGTTCAGAGACCTCCCAGAACCCTAGGTTTGAGAATACCACAGAGAGATGGGTGTGGATACGCTGCCTGACCGACCTAAGCTATCAGGTTTGTTTTTGTTACCTGCTTCACATGTAACCCTAGAGGCAGGTACTATTTTCTCTGTTGCCAGTTAACATACCAGGCCCCCATTGAGAGCTGAACCCAGAAGCACTGAGAGAGTCTGCTGTGGGAATCACACACGAGGGGCCCGGTGGGTAATGAAAAGGACTGAAGTGAGCCAGGTGAGTCTGTGCCAACCTAGAGAGCATGTGCCAACCCAAAGTGGTTAGCTCCTCCTCAGCTCTTGCTGAATACTGGCTTCTCTTTAAAAATTTTCTTTATATTCAGATTCAGTTTACATATAGTGAACTGCACAGATCAGTGTGTGGTTTAATGAGTTCCACCATGCATTTCAGACTATTATGAATAGAAACTTTTCGTCACCCAGAAATTTTCCTTGTGCTCGTACTTAATCTCTGCCGTATCCCTAAAATCACCATAGATTAGTTTTGCCTATCCTGTAACTTCATATAAAGATTGATTTATTTGAGAGAGAGAGAGAGAGACAGGGAGGGGGGGAGGCAGAGGGGTGGAGGGAGACGGAGAGAGAAACTTAAGTGACTCCGCACTAGGCGCAGAGTCCAACGTGGGGCTCGATCTCTGGATGCTGAATCACAACCTGAACGGAAACCAAGAGTCAGATGCTTAACTGACTGAGCCACCCAGGCACCGCATTCCACACTGCATATAAATAGAACATCCAATTTTTAAAGAGAACTTGAAACTACATTTTAACAAAACTATCACTTTTTCAATGTTACACAAGTATTTATAACACAATGTGCAGACTCAAGAAAACACACAGGCTAAATCCAGCCAACCAGCAATGCGGCCCCTTTCTGCCTGGGCTACAGTAGAAACCAAGATATATTTTGTATATATTAATTTCTCTCACCATTGTTGGCTTTAGTACTACCTGACAGTTTTTATTCTTTAGCAACTAGTAGTGCATTCTTTTTTTTTATTTTTAAAGATTTTTATTTATTTATTTGACAGAGAGAGAGAGCGCGCGTGCGTGCACAAGCAGGGGGAGTGGCAGCGAGAGGGAGAAGAAGATTCCCCACCGAGCAGGGGGAGCCTGAGGCGGGACTCCATCGCAGGACCCTGGGATCATGACCTGAGCCGAAGGCAGATGCTTAACCGACTGAGCCCCCAGGTGCCCCCTAGGAGTGCATTCTTTAAAAAGGAAGGGAGAGTCTCACCTGCAGGGTACCAAGCCAGTAAGGAGAATGGGAGACTGAATCCCACTCTATGGCCAGCCTTGGGGAGAAAGGAATCCCAAGGGAAAGAATGGGTAGGGGCTGATTTGTGAGGAAGGGAAAGCTGGAGACCACCCGGAGGGTGTAACAAAGAAGAAACAGATCTCAGGGCTGCTGGAATTTTGACTAAGCAGTAAGAAACCTCACCTTCCTATCACTTCACAAGCATCCCTCTGAAAAGGCCCTAAAAGGCCCCATATGATCTTCAGCATTCTCCCAAGCTCCTGCCCCACAGCCACTTGCATTTCCTCCTACTTCCCACCTCCTCACTCTGCTCTAGCCACTGGGACCTCCCTGCTGTGTGCCAGGCACACACCTGACTCCTGCTCCGGAGCTCCCCAGAACTTTCTCCTTCACCACTTTCAGGTCTGTGCTCAACACCATTTTCTCAGCTGAAGATTGTCCTAACTACCTTATTTTAAAAATTGCCCACCCAGCCCCTCCACTGCCTTCTCCCCAGCTTTATTTTCATCCATAGCACACATCACCCTCTGACCCACACTGTACTTACTTCATTTTCTGTATGTCCTCTTCCCTTCCTGAGAATGAAAGCCAAAAGAGGACAGGCACAGAACAGGAATTCACTGGACATTTGTTGAATGAATGAGTGAATCGAGGAGGGAAGGAAGAAGAAATGAAAACCCCTGCTAGCTTTGGATTTGATTGTTAAAAGTGTTCAATCACACAGGGACTAGTTGAAGAAATTTTATCATTTCTAATTATCTTGCAACATTTCCACTGGATATTCTTTTCTAGTCACTTTGCAACATTTAATTGTTTTGAGAGAGTAAAGGTTTAAAAAGAAAACGAATAATACTCCTAGGGACCAGAACAACACTAACAGTACTCCTTAACTTCAAAAATTAGGTTTGTGGGAGGAAAAATGCTTAAACACATAACTGGGCATTTGAATTAATAATTAAGTTTTTTACTTAAAGTTTTAACTTGAAGTTACGAGGACAAAGCCCATCTTTTCATAGTACATTTACTCCTATCTTTCTTTTAAAGATTTTATTTTTAAGTAATCTCTACACCCAATGTGGGGCTGGAACACATAATCCTGAGATCAAGAGTCACATGTTCCACCAACTGAGCCAGCCAGGCACCCCACATTTACTCTATCTTAATTTATTTAAGAAGAGGGGGCGCCTGGGTGGCTCAATTGGTTAAGCGACTGCCTTCGGCTCAGGTCATGATCCTGGAGTCCTGGGATCGAGTCCTGCATCGGGCTCCCTGCTCTGCAGGGAGTCTGCTTCTCCCTCTGACCCTCCTCCCCCTCATTCTCTCTGTCTCAAATAAATAAATAAAATCTTAAAAAAAAAAATTTATTTAAGAAGAAAGAATAAATTATGAAATAACAAAACAGCATGTGCCCAATATTACTAAATATTTGAGAATAATGATCAGCAATAAACATATAAAAATGAATCCAACACAAGATTTGTTTTTTAATGGCAGGGATGCAACCACCTCTCAGTAAATGGAGAGATGGGGGCTGAGCCGGTTCTGTAGGTCTGCATTCGATTTTTGATACCAGGTAAGGCCATTTCCTCTAAAACACAAAGGTAAAGAATTCTAGTGTCAGTAGCTTTCCTAAGCTAAGAAAAAAATATATTCCCCAACCCAAGACATTACTTAGAATTAGCCCAGGCCCTGGGATTGGCCCATGCTGGATTAGACCAAGTGTGTCCAGGCTGTCAATTCACCTAAGGAGATACCCTCTATCCACCATGTTTGGAAGAGAGCAGGGAACATGCTGGAATCATGGGCCACAAGCCCATATTTTCCAACACATAGCAGGTGAAATACAATGATTTGCCCAAGTTTTGGAAAGCCTGAGAATAAACATGAAGCAGCCCTAAGACCAACAGTAGAGACAAAAGAAATGAAATGAAGTGTAGCTCCTTGCCGTCCATGGGCCTTCTTACCCTTGTTCTATGTTTCCTCCTTAATGCCTTTCCATCTTTTGTCAGCTCATGTCTGTTTCTCTTTTACTGATCTGACAGTCACACATACACACTGTTTTTTTCTTCTTCTAAGTGTTTTGGGATGTGAAGGGCAGTAGGAGAAAAAAAGAGTACGATAAACAGAAATAAATTTTATGGATTACAATTTAGAAAGTTATATCTTTAAATCTAAGAATAATTTTCAAAGTGTGAACATCTACAGAATTAACAATGGAATGGCAACAAGACTGGGTCCCAAACAAATGATTAAGGTAAACAATATGCTCTTTTTTTCCTATCCCACTTGTGGTAACTGGATAGTCTACTACCTGAGAAGGTGTGAGGATCACCTTTTTTATCTTAGTTTGGACACAGAAGCTCACATTTCAGCAACGATCAAGGTCATCATCTTTATCCCTTGCTGACACTTTTCTCCCATACCCTCACACACAGATCACAGATCACCTCTAGGAAAAAATTTCAACAGGCTATTGAACACTGGCATGGATACCCCAAGGAGAGATAATCGTCTCTGGGGACATTAGGAACAGCTAATCATCTTGGATAGGCAGAGTTACACGGAGTTCAGTCCATCAAAACATACTGGGTGCTAAGGACTTGCAAAGCATTGTGGGAATACTGAACCAGTGAGAAGGCACATTACCTTCCCTAAATAAAGTCCCTGATGGGGACTGCTTCTTAGGAAGGCATGTTTAGGCTTCGTTACCACTGAGTCTATATAATCCTGGGCCAGGCTATGTATAGAAGGGATTTTGTGGATCTGCTTTCTATCTTCAGGTGACATAATCTTAGAATCAGTTCTTGGTGATTTTTTAACCCAGTGATTCTCAATCTTGGCTGGACATTAGTGTTTCTTGGTAGGGGGTTGGGGAGGCTTCTTAAAAAAAAAAAAAAGAGAGAGATGTCTGGGCCTGCCCCAGTCTAATTACATCAGAATCTCTGACCCAGTATTTTTTTTTTTAAATAAACTCTCCCTGTGATTGAAATGCAAAGAATTATACTTTAGTAGTTGAGAATCACTGATCCCATATGACACAGAAAAAAAAATGAATGTCCAAAGAATTTAATTGACTTGTTACTTGCCCAAGATCACACACTTAGTTAAGGGCAGAGCTTGGATTAAAACCATGATCTCGGGGCACCTGGGTGGTTCAGTTGGCTAAGAATCTGCCTTCAGCTCAGGTCATGATCCCAGGGTCCTGGGATCGAGCCCCGAGTCGTACTCTTCGCTCATCAGAGAGTCTGCTGCTCCCTCTGCCCCTCACCCTGCTTGTATGCTCTCTCTCAAGTAAATAAATAAAATCTTAAAAAAAAAAAAATCATGATCTCCACCAGTTTACTCATCCAATTAATGTCTATCAATGGCATTCTAAGGTCGTGACCAACTACGTAGCTGTCACTCAATAAGGTAAGTCAAAGCTGCTTCATAGCTAAGGATCAGTTAGCCTGGTCCCGATCCAAGTTAAAAAGAGAGAGTAAGCTATGCTGCTTCTAGCACTCTCTCTCTCACCCTTTTCTTCCAAATCGTGGTTTATGATTCAGAACTCTGGAAATGTTAAGAAATCCTGTGCTCCACATCAAATCCATCACTACCTATGACCCACTTTCCCAGTTTATTAGTTCCAGGGGGACCTACCTACCCGAGTCCAAAGGGCAGCACAGAGGGCAGGGGACAGGGCCCCAGACGAGAGGTCTGGTGTGGTTCAGCGAAACCCGGATTCGTAGGGCTGAGAGCTGGAGAAGGGACAGCTCGCTCCTCGGCCCTAGGACAGAAGGAAGGAAAGTTAATCCAGTGGTTGCTGGTTTGTTCTTTGAAAGAAGTTACGTCCAAAATGTTTCTTGATGATGTCCATTCATTCCTAATACCATAGTACTGAACATGGTAATGATGCAGTACAACACACACACACACGCGCGCGCGCACACGCGCACACACGCGCACACACACACCTCCTTCCCAAAGGTGAACATGAGTACGTGTGCATGAGAGAGCAAGTTCAAATTTTGAATTCAACCATTCCCATCCTGAGCAATTCATGGTCATGACAGTTGGTATGTGAAAAACTGCCCTGAATGGGGCATCAGCACTGGGAAAAAAATCTCAGAAGCACTTTCCTTGAGAAGGACGAGAAAAAAATTAAAACATGGGATTCATAATGTTCAAGACACAAGCGGATACTGATCAACTAAAAAATTAACAGGACTACTGTCTTTAGTCTTTTACAGATAATACATTTATTAATTCCTATTTACAGGACACTTACTCAAAAGGCCAAGTATTTATTCCATTCCAAAGTAAATTAAGTTTTAACCACTCAGTTTGTGGATTTACCCATATCCTCTCTTCATTTCCATCTCCCTGACTAAATCACTGCCTTGCTCTAAAGGGGGGTCTTATTCCTCTGAAAGATACGCAACATTTTGAATGTTGTGTGTTTTTTGTAGGGATAAAGTCCTTAGCTTAGGCCAGATTTTTTTTTTTAAAGATTTTATTTATTTATTTGACAGACAGAGACACAGCGAGAGAGGGAACACAAGCAAGGGGAGTGGGAGAGGGAGAAGCAGGCTTCCCGCTGAGCAGGGAGCCCGATGTGGGACTCGATCCCAGGACCCTGGGATCATGACCTGAGCCGAAGGCAGATGCTTAACGACTGAGCCACCCAGGTGCCCCAGCTTAGGCCAGATTTTTAAAAAGACCTGTCCCCTCCCCGAACCCCTTCCCCCCCAATACAATTGTTTAAGAGGGTGAAGTCCAAAAGATGATGTAGTTGATGATTGCTAGTATCCACAGCAATGATGATTTGCTGAAAGATTTTCTGAAACTGGCTACTGGAGCTGTCTTCCAAAAGACAAATTGAAGGATTTCATGAAATTGGATCTATCTTCCAAAAGGAATGAACTTAGATAACAAAGACGATGGGAAGCACCAGAGGATTACATTTACCCATGTTGACTTGTCTTCTTTTCTGCACAGTTTCACTGGTTTTAAACAAAGGAAAATCACCATCCCCTCATTTTTGTTGTTGATTTTGACTTTATTAATTCAATGATAGTGCAAACACTAGGGAAAATGGACATGCCTTCTTATTTAGTTATATTTCCTAGAAAATCTTTTATTTGGAATTGATAAAATGCGGACTACCTGCATTGGTAGAAAAACTTCAAAATGATTAAGATATCAAGGGACACACATTTAGAATCAGATGAAAACTCAACTCATTTTTTCCCAGATTTCAAACTACACTACAAAGCTCTAGAGATCAAAACAGCATGGTACTGGCATAAAAACAGACACACAGATCAATAGAACAGAGAGCCCAGAAATAAACCTACACTTGCGTGGTCAATTAATCTGCAACAAAGGAGGCAAGAATATCCAATGGGGAAAAGACAGTCTCTTCAATAAATGATGCTGGGAACACTGGACAGCTACATGCAAAAGAATGAAACTGGACCACCTTCTCACACCACACACAATGAACTCAAAATGGCCTGAAACCATAAAATTCCTAAAAGAAAACAGGCAGTCGTCTCTGGCATCAGCCTTGGAAAACTCAACTGGTCTTGATTTAAATTGAAGAGGCATCTACACCTGACAAGTCAGTCCACTGTTGTTGTGGTGGTTTTAATTGGAAAATTCCTCTATCTTCCATTCTTCTGCAGCTCTTAGCAAAGTGCTTCACACGCAGAAGGTGCTCGAATACTTGCTGGATTGAGTCAATTCTTTGGTATCGCTCATAAATTAATGAGGAACTTGTAACTCTGTATAGTTTCAGAGTAGTTAAAGAGAGAAAAAAAGAAATGCTACGTAACAGGACTGGGGCTTCAGGTGTTACCTAACAGAGCAGAAAGCTTTCCAGCAGAGCACTTAAGATATCGGTCATCTTACCATCTTCACTCCGAGCTTTTTTCTAATGCAAATTAGTCTGAATTTCTCTCTCCTGCGTCTGGTCTCCCACCTGAAAGCCTTCTGAACAAAGAAATACTACCGTAATTAGGACTGCCTGGCAAAAACCTATTCCAAATTTCGTTTCAGAAGGTTGCATATTCGACTTTCCCTCTACTTCCAAGCTTACTTTCAACGATGCGTATTATGTGCATTTATGGCTAATGCACATTGTTCCCAGTTCTCAGATAAAAAAAAAAAAAGCCGAACCTCAGTGTCCCCCCACAGCGAATCACCATTTTTGTTATTAGAGCTCCCGTTCACGATTTACCAACTCTAGACCCCAAACTGATCACGGGGAGGGTAAGAATCCACGCCCCCTGCCCCACAGCGCCCCTGACAGCTGCCAGACCCTCGTAGGTCTTCCACCTTCGCGGCCTTGACCTGCACCCGAGAATGCCCAGCATGCGTCCCGTGCCCGCCCGGCCCCGAGACCCCCTCCGTGCGGCAGTCACTGCGAGTAAACCGGTCTCCCGATCCGTGGTCCTCCCCAAGCGTGGGGCAGGAGCTTGCCGGGGCCGCAGTATCAGACCCGCCACCGCGGCAGCGCGCCCCGCACCGGAGGCGTTCCGGAGGCGGCCGGCGCTCTAGGCCGGGGGCCACCACCGCCGAGTTTTAAAGCAGCGAGGCGCGTCCCCTTCACGGAGCTGCGGAGGCCGGCCCCACTTCGCGGCTGCGGAGGGGAGGCCCGGCCCCCGAACCACAGCTCCCCTGGCCGGGCACCCCACCCGGTGGCCCCGCGGGCAGCGCGCGGCCCCAGCGAGGAGGCCAAGGGCGATAGTGGGATTTCACAACCCGAGGGGACACGAACAGGCGAGAAGCGAGCCTCGGCGGGGCAGCGCTGAGAGTGCTGGCGGAGCACCCGAGGGCGCCGGGAAGCGGCGGGGCCGAGGCTGGCTCAGAACCCGAGGGAGGCGAGCGCCTCGTGAAGTCTGGGCCGCCGCCGCAGAGGGGGCGATGGAGGCAGACGTTTCCGGGGGAAAGCACTGCTCAGACCTTGTCCCGCCAGCGCTTGGAGACGGCCGAGGCGGGGCGCGTCCAAGTTGTTGCCTGTTAGTTTCAGGAAGGAGTGAGAGCCAGAGCCGAGAGGGAAGCCCGGGAGACCGCAGACACGGCCGACAGCGCTCCGCGCGCGCCTTCCCTGCCCGCCCGCGCCCGCCTCTCCCGCGGCCCCGCCGCCTCCTCTCCCGGCCCCGCGCGCACTCACCGGCCCGCGCTGCCCGGCGCTGCCCAGGGCCGAGCCGCCGCGCTCCGGAGCCCCTGCCGCCTCGACGCCGCGCCGCTGCGTGCGCGCGCGGCTCTCGGAGGAGGCGCCGAGCGGCTGTGGGGCCGCGGCGCCCGGCGCGCCGCCGCAACCCGAGCCCGCCCCGCCCCGCCGCGCGCCGCCCTCCGCCCCGGACCCCGCGAGGAGGCCCGAGGTCTCCCGTCAAACGCCTAGAGCTTCGGGGCGTGCTTGGCGGCTGACGCTCTGCTTGCGCAGCCCGCGAGCGTTTCGGGACGGACACCCCACTTTCCCCTCCCGCGGCTCGCGAACTCCTCAGGAGGGGATTCGTGGAGCTTGGAGGTGGGGCCTGAGGCGAATTTAGAGGGTCGAGGCTGAAGAAAGCACAATAAACACGCGATATAGTATTCAAGCAGGAAACATTGCTTATTATTATTATTATTATTATTATTATTATTAAGATTTTATTTATTTATTTGAGAGAGAGACTGAGAGAGAGAGCATGAGAGGGGGGAGGGTCAGAGGGAGAAGCAGACTCCCCGGGTGCCTGGGTGGCTCAGATGGTTAAGCGTCTGCCTTCGGCTCAGGTCAAGATCCCAGCGTCCTGGGATCGAGCCCCGCATCGGGCTCCCTGCTCCTTGGGATCCTGCTTCTCCCTCTGCCTCCCTCTGCCTCCCTCTGCCTCTGTCTCTAAAAAGAAAAAAAAAAAAAAAAAGCAGACTCCCCGCCGAGCAGGGAGCCCGATGCGGGACTCGATCCCGGGACTCCAGGATCACGACCTGAGCCGAAGGCAGTCGCTTAACCGACTGAGCCACCCAGGCGCCCAATGAAACCTTGTTTATTTATTATTTTTTAAATAAAGATTTTATTTATTATTTGACAGAGAGAGAATGAGAGAGAGAGAGAGAGAGAGCACATGAGAGAGAGCAGGGTCAGAGGGAGAAGCAGACTCCCCGCCGAGCAGGGAGCCCGATGCGGGACTCGATCCCGGGACTCCAGGATCATGACCTGAGCCAAAGGCAGTCGCTTAACCAACTGAGCCACCCAGGCGCCCTAAAAAAAATTTTTTTTAAAGATTTTATTTATTTACTTGAGAGAGAGAGAATGAGAGACAGAGATCATGAGAGGGAGGAGGGTCAGAGGGAGAAGCAGACTCCCTGCCGAGCAGGGAGCCCGATGCGGGACTCGATCCCGGGACTCCAGGATCATGACCTGAGCCGAAGGCAGTCGCTTAACCGACTGAGCCACCCAGGCGCCCCTGCTTATTATTTTTAAAATGGAAACATCCTAACCTATATTCTCAAATACAGTGATTATGGAGACTCAGACTTGACAAGGAACGTGGAGATGCAGAATGACAATCTTTAAAAAAAAAATGCTTTGATGAGCTGCTTTCGATGAACACCTTTTCTTGCAAATACTGCCTCGTGCAACAAGACCGTGCGCGACAGATTCTTTTTCAGGAATTCTAGTTAGAATTTACAAAACACCTTTTTTTTTAAAAAAAAAAAAAAAAAGGAAAAATTAAGTAAAGCAACAAAACATCCTATTTGGGAGAAAGGAATATACCTGGGGGGAAAACGGAGAATGGAAAGAAAGAAGGGAGGAAAAGAGGAATGAAAGGAAAAAAGGGAAGGAGGAAGGAGGGAAAGAACCTGTTTTCTTTCTAACAACTGAGATGCAAGAGAGCACCGCAGCCAGAGGGCCTAAATCCTCGAAGATGAGGGGTAGAAATGATTTCAACATAAATACTTGCCCTGGGGGCGCCTGGATGGCTCAGTGGGTTAAGCGGCTGCCTTCAGTTCAGGTCTTGATCCCAGGGTCCTGGGATCGAGCCCCGCGTCGGGCTCCCTGCTCCGCGGGAAACTTGCTTCTCCCTCTCCCACTCCCCCCTGCTTGTGCTCTCTCTCTCTGGCAAATAAACAAATAAAATCTTAAAAAAAGAATCCGTCTGGTCACTGCTCCAAGAATGGATTGCCAAGGACCAAAATGGTTGCAGAGAGAACCAGATGCTGGTTACTGAAATACTTCAAGTGGAAGAGAGGCAGAGCCTGTGAAGACGAGGACAACACAAAGAAAACAGGGAGAGGAAAACTAGAGGAGAGTAAAGGGCAAGACCACCACCAGATTTTATAAGAACTACAGAGATTATTGCCTCTCCAGGGCTTGATCCCATGACCTGAGCTGAAGGCAGACGGATTGAGCCACCCAGGCGCCCCTCTGACCCGTCTTTTCTTAATGAAGTCTGGCAGTTCCAGATAATGTTTATGGTATCTCTCAACTTTTAAAAATGTGTGTACATTTGGAACATGTTGTGATTTATTTTCCTTTTCTAAATAAATATTCACATTGCTACCTAATTTTGCATTTATATTTTTGAGCTCTTTTTCTTAAAAGGAGTGCACCAAATTGTGACAGGGATCATAAGCAGCATGGAGATAATAAGGACTTGAGAAGGAAGTGCCATCCAAAGACTGGGCATAATACATTAATATCATTGTTTCTGCCTTAAACAGTGCCCGAGTATCTCTTTCAACTGAGAATCAGGTCCATTTTCTTGATTATAAAGGCTCACTTACCAGGGCAGTGAAAGGCAAGGGAGGGAAGATAGGCCACTGTTGGTACTTAAAATATGAAAAGATGACCATTTTTGTGAAGTAAGGCTTTGAAACAGGTCCAGCGGACTGATCTGCAAGTCCAGTCTCACAGGCTATCTGATCCATCAAAGTAGAAGACTTTCATGGCATTTTTGCCAAAACATCTACCTCAGTCACCTAAACAAATACCTGAAATTTCACCATTAAAACACTCATTCTTTTGGATCTTGATGCATTTCTGGAAGTTTAACACTACTTATTACAATAGAAATCCCTTGGGGCAAATTTACAGTTTGTTTCATACTAACACTTTTTGTGAGATGACCATGTCAATGCCTACCACAGTGTCTGAGTTGCCCCTTCTCTCTCCTATGTGAGAACTGGTTAACACCCACAGGACTAGGACCCAGGCTGGTTTTCTGTGTCGGGGGGATGTGGGCATGTTCTGGTTGTGTAGGGTGTGTCTTAGGGAGAGAATCCAAAGACAGCCGTCCTCCTTTGATGTTTTGCCAAACTCCAAACATGGAATATGCTAGAATATAAATGTTACAGTTGGAAATTTAGAGGCAGACCGAAGAATCAACTTCAAGTCACCTAAAATATGAATGTGGGAGAAATTATATTAGAATTCAGAGATTCTAATTAGCTTTTAATTAATGGGGTTTCCTCTTCAGTCTTGGAGGGTGTTGTTTAGTTTCTATTGAGGTGATTCTTAACAGAATTTGTTTAGATTCTATTAAAGTGAAGAGGTGTTCAAAAGTGTCTAACTTATCACAATATTGTGTGCCTTCCCTGGATGGTAACATTAAGGGATTCTTGTACGAACTTGGGTGTAAGTTAGTTTACTGTCCCTAGATTTATTGAGGCAATATTTCTTTTTTTAAAAGATAAATTTATTTGAGAGAAGAGAATGAGAGAGAGAGAGCACATGAGAGGGGATAGGGTCAGAGGACGAAGCAGACTCCCTCCCGAGCAGGGAGCCCGATGCGGGACTCGATCCCGGGACTCCAGGATCATGACCTGAGCCGAAGGCAGTCGCCTAACCAACTGAGCCATCCAGGCGCCCGAGGCAATATTTCTTATGCCCAGTTCTGTGCCTTTTTATTATTCACATATATATCCATCTATTGTTCTACCAGTATTCTTTCCATAAAAATTATGTTTTTGGACTTAACTTCCTCTTTTTCTGCTGTACTGACATGATTTCTAGACAGTGGGTCCAGACACTGAAATAAAGTAATAAGGCCACTGGAGATTGGCAGACTTTTCCACTGTCGCTGCATGGTCTCCCATGTCTATAAAATAGAGAGCACCAATTTCCATCATGTGGGATTAAAAAAAAAAACTGTAAAAATTCATTTCTAATAAGTACCCAAAGGACTAAATGGGAGATCCAGTAAGAATGACAAAACCCTCTCACCTCTGAACTGGAATTCTTTTAATAATGGCTGATTTTTTTTTCCCTGCACGATAAATAAATGCGTAGTTGCTTTTGTACTTACTACTATATTTTGTATGTGAAGCAGTTTGTTGTTACTCTGGAGAAGTATGAATCCTTAGTAAGATTCTTTCCAATTTAAAATTATACCTTAGCTGTGGTCCCAGATCTACCCATCAATTCTAGTGTCCCAGCTTCTTTTCTCAGTTGAATCCAACCACTCTCCATCCCTTGGTCAGAGTGGATTTATTCAAAGGTCACGCGCTTAAAACCCTCCCACAGCTTCCCAGTGCTTCCTAATTAAAGTTGAATTTTGTTGGTATGAGAAATTGCTTTTCCTCCCTTGCTCCTGACTCCCCCCCTCCACCCCCCGCAGCACTAGCCCCCAGGAGCCCCTCTGCAAATTCAAAAGATCTGAGACTCCCCCAAGGAGCCAGTCTAGTTCCTGCTTTTGTGTATTTGCACACATTGCTCATTCCTAAATATGTCTCCCCGCTGAATCTGCCTAACAAATCCTATTTATTCTTTTCTTTTCTGGCTATAACTTTTAGATCTTCATGTGAAAATAGCGAATAACACAAAAAATACTTTTGTATGCATTCAACCCATTCAAACCTGAACATTTTACTGTATCCTATTCTGACTTTTAAAAACGAAAGAAAACATTTTGGGGTAGAGTTGATGTCTTCCACATACCCCTCTCTGATCTTATTCCCTGGCCTGAGGAAACCAGTGTAATGAATTTGTATTTACTATTCCCACGCATGCTCTTAGATTTTTGCTACATATGCATGTATTCATAAGTGACAAATTGTACAGTTGACCCTTGAACAACATCGGGGTGAGGGGCGCCAACCCCAGTGGAGTTGAAAATCTGAGTATAACTTTTGGCTTCCCCAAAACTTTACCATTAATAGCCTACTGCTGACCGGATGCCTTACCCATCACATAAACAATTGATTAGCTCATATTTTGTATGTTTTATATCTTATATACTGTATTCTTAGAATAAAGTAAGCCAGAGAAAAGAACATGTCATTAAGATAATCACAAGGAAGAGAAAATACACCTACAGTACTGTACTGTATTTATCCAAAAAATC